GGTGATGATTGCTGGTGAGGCGATCTTCTGGTCTTTTGTCTCTTTTGAATAGTATGTAGATGCCGTTTATCTGGCTGGGTGTTTGCAAGAAAAGAACCAAGCTCAGAGAAACCCAAGGACTCCACAGTTCAACCCTGTGCTACACATATTCGCCTCTATTGATCTTAATCCCTTCTAGTCAGTTTCACACTACCTGGAGGAAATTCCTCATATTTATACCCTATATTTATTTTCCTGAACTAAGTCCCACAAGTGAAATAAATAGTGCTGTCATTTTGAAATACACTGTACATGGCAGCACATGAAAACCATAGCTGATGAGAGGAAACTCCCTAAAAACAGTGGAGAAGGAAAATGATTTTGTGACACAATAGCATGAGGAAGATGGGCTGGGCTATGTGTCATGTTTTCTTAGAGTTTAGGAGCTGGCAGGTTGACAGTACATCACACCCATGTAGATCTGCCTGAGGTCTCTCACTTGTTATTATCTGTGACACCAAATGGCCAATACCTTTAAGGCAGATGAAACCTTACAAAGTTAGTTCTCAGCTCAATAATTGCACCCATCCTACGTATTTTCAAAAATGTGTCTTCGGGGATAAAATAACCACTGAAAAATGTCTTTGTCTGGGAGAGAAATATGAATCTTTCCTTTCTCAAGATGACCAGGCACTAAATTGTTATTGAATGAGAAAGCTAACTCCTGATTAATATGGATCAGATGAAAGCTAACAAAAACAGAATTAGTCAAGATAATTTTATTCTCAAGGAAAGCAAAGACATCAGCTTCCCATTGGCTCTATGAAGGCAGAATTAGTGGTGTGCTCAGCCACTACTCCATCCACTACAACTGGCTTTGTAATAGCTCTTGCCTTTCCTGTGCATAGCACAACTATACAGAACTCCACGGAGGCTGGGAGAAGGTAACGCTCCCTCTGTTCCTCCCACATGGCGTCTTGGGTCTTTTCTCCATATCAGCTACAGGAATCCATTTTGTAGTCAAAAGGAATAAATACAGTTACATTGCCTGGTAAAGTTAGTTGCTAACATTGTACTGTTGTTGTTGTTGTTGTTGTCATTGTTGTGTCAAGGGATTTGTTCTGAAGCCTTGTTTTTCTGTGACAGTTTGTAGCCACATGATAACAGAAGAGATGTTTATCCCAATGTCATAAATGATTGAAAGTATTGCTCTCTATGCAACAACTGCACTTGACACTTTCTCTATAGCAACACGAACAGCATTTCAATGTAATCTTTTGCATCTTGATTACTGCTGAAATGCCAAGGTTAAATGCCAAGCTGAGAAAAGTATATGGATAACCTGTTCCTCTGGCAGGCTGGAGAGGGAGGGGGAAGCAGCAGTTTTGTAATTTTTCTTGTGGTGCATAAAAATAACAATACATGATAGAATGATGTTATGCAGCTGTTACGAATAACCCAGCCAGCATTCACAATCCGGCATGCTTCCTGCCCATGTGTATGCTAGACAGCATCCGAGTTTGAATATACATTTTCTGTGAGGCAGCGTTTTAGAACATAAACTCAGGAGATTAACTCAACCCTCCCCACTTCAAAATGAAGGAAAATGTTTGCTCTTCTCAAACACAAAGCCAGAACTCCAGTGTCAGGCCCAGCCCAAGAATAACAGGGAAACAGTCCATCCAAGTTCAGTTCCTTTATTGCTTACACCATATAGACAGAATCTTGCCAGACTAAATCTGTACTACTTTAACCTAGTGGATATACCCTGGGAGATTCTAGGGAGTGGCTATCCTAAGTCTCTTCCTCTTCCCACGCTCCTGCTCCGGACTGTGCTGTCTCTTGTCTCGCTCCCCTTCCTGGAATGTGCTCCCTCTTTGCTGAGAACCTGCTGCTCCATTGCATTCCATCACATCCAGGGACATGGAGCAAGAGGTTTCTATGCCCAGACTGGGAAAACAAGTAAAGTGTACCATCTCTCCAGCACTTCTGATAAATGGCTAATAATAGCTCAAAAAGCCAAGGGAAGTTCAAGGACAAAGAAAAAGATCAATCAGGTTCTCTCTTGGGTGTAGGTAACTACACTAGTTAGATCTCGCATTAAATGTTAGGGGTTTTTATCTGTCTGTGTTATGAACATAAGAACATAAGCAGTGCCCTAAATCAGACCTCTGACCCATCTAGTCCAGCAGTCTGTTCTCACAATGGCCAAACAGCTGCACACGGAAGCCCATATGTCTTCCAACAGATGGCCTTCAAAGACAGTCAAACTGCCATGAAGGTTAATAGCCATTGATCCCCATGACTTCCATGAATTGGTCCAACCCGTTCTGAAGCCAGCCACGTTGGTAGCCAGCACCACGTCCCATGGCAGTGAATTCCAAATGTGAACTACATGTAATTCATTTCTCCTGATTCTTCCAAGATACAGTGTAAGATTCATGTTAGAAGACTTATTCTCTCTTATTCTTATTGCTGTGTACGTGGTGAGCATTCCGTGTGACTTCAGACTGAGCTCAAGATAGTAATCTCATTCCTGAGATCACTAATTATGGCTGTCCAGCAATGTCTGCTGAGAGCAGTGCATGTATTTTTGTAAATTGTGTTTCATATATAATATCTTTTGAGTTACTTCTTTAAAAATAAAGTATGCTTTTGTGTATCCCCTGCAAGATCCATTTATTTCCCAAAGAAGAGAGGAAGAAATGACAGCTCTAGTCACATGCCATTATGTTACAAAGCCAGGGTTACATTACAATTTTTTTAATTTTTATTTTTTATTCACCAGAACAGAAGTACATGTTGTGGAAGTCCTATATTTCAGGGAAATAAAATGCCCCCTGGAAGATAGGTGGCGGTAGTAGAAACTACCAAGCAGCTACCTCAGGACAGAAAGCAGGACCAGCTATGTACACCCAATAGAGTTGAAATCTTCAGACTTTCCCCCTGTGGGCCCAGCTGGTTGCCATAGCAGCTTTAGCTAACCTTCTTGTAGGTTAGAGAAACAAATCTTACATCTTAATTCAGTGCAGCACATCAAAGAACAACATATAATAAAACTGAGGGCCATTTAATTCACTGAAACATAGAATGGACAGAACCTTTCTCCAAATAATGTCCATATTACATTTTGATGCACATCATTTTTGACTTCAAAGGCAAACAGATTTCTTTATGTGAAAGAAATGAAAGGAAGCATAGTCTGTGCATGTAAATATTATGTGTATGGCCCCACACACACACGCAATCCATACTATTAGCCAATCACAGTGCCAGTCTGCCCTTATGGCTATAGCAATATCTCATGTATCTTATGCAAGCTGAATTTACCTTCTCAAGTCATTTTCTTTTTTTTATTACAAGCCAACTGCAATGAAGTTACTGAAACAAAATAACAAGTAGTTGCTGAAAATAATTAATTTGCTCATTATAAAAATGTTGAAGCAGTTAATTATTCAGAATTGGCAAGGCACATTTTTTAGCCCTGTAAGAGGAAGATGGCATTAAATGGTTCATAAAATTAGATCACAATAGATAATTATATCAGTCAGAGATAAAGTACATTCTACAAAAACCTCACAACCATTGCAAGTTTAGGAAGACACTATGTGGATGACAGAACAATATTTTCATATTAAATAGGAGGGTTCCCTTATGGAGCTCCTATGTTTAAAGCCCATCAACCAAGTCAGTTGAAAAAGAAGGAAATATATCTACCTTGAAGGAAGACCAGGGATCCTTACACTCTTCAGCTCATCAACCCCTTCATGAAGTTTTAGATTGTTCATCAACCCCCACCCCAACATTTATTATATGAAAATAATAAATACTACTTTAATTAATAATGCTAAAATTATAATAATTACACTGACCCCTTGGATAGTCCCATCGACCCTTGGGGGTTGTATTGACCACCTTGGAGAACCCTGCATTAGGCAAACTAACTGAGATTTTATGACTCAGCAACTGTAGTCAACCTTTCACTAAATTCTTGCTTGAGGTTTCCAACATTAAATGTTTTTGAATTATTAAACTCAAGGCCATGCAAGAAGATTTTCATGTTAGAGAAACTTAATGATGGATGTAGCCAGTAAAAAAAATCCTTATTCCCAGAATGTAACATTGATACATGCTAGATGGTTTCAACATGATTGCCCTCAAAGTTCTAAGGTGCTGTCTTTGGTAGCTCTTCCCATAAATGATGAGAAGACTAGAGAAGATTCTCCAATTGTTCCAACATGTAGTCATGGCAATTCTTTTTACTCCCAGAGCACTCTAACTGTATTCAACTGTACAACTGCATTTTGTGGCTACAAAGTCCTTCTGGAGGGTTGGAACAAGACATGGGCCAACACATGCATCCTGTTGTCTCCATGATAATTAGATGTCTGAATGTCTGAAGAAGTGTAGAAAGTGTAAACTATGAGAAGCTCCTTAAATCATTATTCAAACCATATAAATGTCATGCTTTTAGATCAGTATATCACTGTCCCAGTGTCTGGATGCTACAGTACAGAAAACATTAGAACAATTAGATGCACTATGCCCTGGATTCTATATAACACTAGTGTGGTGGTAAAAGTACACTACTCCCCAGTACACTACCAAACCTATGAGATGCCTCCCCATACATATGAACTGCTTAAACTGCCCTGAGCAAGCTGAATTGACCCTGAGTGGTGACAGGGAGAAGAATCAGTCAGGAACCTGTGGCCCAGTAAACCAAATTATTTATATTCACTAACCATATCTCAAAGATAGTATGGCTAATATGCTGAGCTAGTAGGAAGGGCTAAATAATAATAAGGTCACAGATGGATTTATCTAAAATATTCCAATGTCATGTTGTAATTTACACTGTGTCTGCCTTTTTCCTTTGTCTTGTCTTTGCAAGGTACTAGGCTAGGATACCAGGATCTATTGCCACCCATGTAGGCTAAATCTAAAAATCAGATAAGAGGAAGGAACATAAATAACATAGAGAGAGCCAGCCTCAAAAGCCAACCCAGAGAAAACATAATGAGCCTACTTGAGACAATGGTGCTATAGTTGGCAAAAGCAGTTGCTGTAACTTTTCTGGCTCTCATTTAAATGTAAACCAGTCAATTTATTGAAATGACTGAGATCACAAGTGAAGCAAGTTCAAACACCTATGGATAATGCTATAAAAATCCTTAACAGTGGCATTAGCTTAATGGAACTACTATACAGTGATTTTTAAAAAGTATAGAATAATCACAAAATCAAAAGTGCTATTTTTGAAATACATACATACACTGTATGGAGAGAGAGAGAGAGAGAAAGAGAGAGAGAGAGAGAGAGATTACCTTTTTTTCATAGAATCATAGGGTTAAAAGGACCTTGGAGATTTTCTAGTTCAACCACATGCCCAGGGCAGGAATCCTCTTATCATATCATCCTAGACAAATGGTTGTCCAATCTTTTTAACTTTCTCTATAATGGTTTATTTGCAGAGTGGGCAAGTTTGATTTAGTGGTTAAGACATCAGGCTAGAACTGGAAAACAAATGAGTTCTAGTCCTGCCTTGGACACAAAGCCAGCTGGGTGACCTTGGGCCAATCACTCTCTCTCAGCCCTAGGAAGAAGCAGGCAATGGCAGATCACTCCTGAAATCTTGCCAAGAAAACTGCAGGACCTTGTCCAAGCAGTCATCAGGAGTCAACACTGACTTGAAGGCCAAAAAAAAAAATTGCTACCCTTTTTTTCCAGCTCAGAGCATCCCTGACATTTCCTTCCAGGAATAGTCAGCTTAGAATACCTGATCTGCGTTTTCAGTGTTGATTTATATTACCTAGCCACCCAAGACTTCCGTACTATGTTCTTGAATATAATCTCTAATTAGCCTCCAGAATGTTCAAATTTAGCTGAATCCACACAGCATCAAATCATGTTTTTATTTGATTATTGTATGGCGCCCCAAGTCACTTCTTGTGAGATGGGCAACTATATAAATTGGATTAATTAATACATTAAATAGATAAATACTATAGCCCCCCCATCCCACCCCCATTGACAAGGTGTTCTTTTCTTCAAATGCTTCACCCTTTTTTCCCCAAAAGTATCTTGTATGGTGGTGCCTGAACAATTCAATTACAGTTCAATTGCAAATTTGCAGAAAGGTGTCATATGTAATTTTGTGTCACTGTATATAGAAGAAATTCAGTAAAGATTACAAAAAAGGGAGGTACATTTGGATTGCTTGACTGATAATGAAGACAAACATTAATTACATAATATGGCATTAAGAAATAATTATTGGGAAGAAAGCCCAGCAATGGAATGTTCCTATATTTTCTAAGAGAATGATGAGGTTCATTTCTAAAACCTTTAACTACACGATAGACAGTCTGAGAGTTTAGTAGGCCCATTCCTGCCGATTCTTAAAGCAACATTGTGCTAAACTGAGCATCTTAGAAAAATGCCTCGTGATGCTGATAATCCATTCTGGGCCAAATCAATGGTGGCATTCTACTGTACTCCTAACACCGACTCAGTTCACACCATCAAACAGCACGCGACTGTCTTAAGGGTAGTATTATACAAGTTACTAATCAAATCTTATATAGCTTAATGGAGCGCTTATTATGCTCAAATTCTATGCATTTCAGTAAAGCAGTATGATATCATTTAACATTCCAAATAATATGAGTGTTCCAAAACTACATTACTAAATCATTAAAGAAAAACTTTTAAAAATATGGGATTGA